AGCAGGAGGTCAGAGGAGGACAGAGGCGGTCCGGGTCAGCTGACCTCTATCTGCAGGTCCCTATTGGCCAGCAGGGCGCTGCTCTTCTCCTGGTTGAGGCTGTTGATGTCGGCCATCAGACTGTAGTTGTGATCTCGCAGCTGCTTCACCTCCTCACTCAGCCGCTCCCGCTCCTCCCGGATCTTGTGCACGCGCTCAGTCAGCTTCCGCAGCTCGCGGTCCCTCAGCTGCTGCTGGCGAGACCACGCCTCCTGAAGACAGACAGACAATCTGACTGGCAACTCTGTGACTTCATGTTTCTTAGTAGCCTGGTTGCCGTGCACACCTGTTCCTTGGCGACAGAACACGCCTGCTGGCGGCGCCGTCGCTCGCCCTGCAGTGCCCTCTGCAGGCGGCTTAGCTCCGACATCAGGAACTGAGTCAGACCAGATTCTCCTGCGGTGTCTGAACACAAAACAGCTGCCGTCAGTCAGTGTGATCTGTGATGCGTATCGTGGTATCAGTCTGTCACCTGAACGCACCGATGAGGATGCTGAAGGTCTTGTTGGGCTCCTTCCCAGTGATCCGTCGGTACAGATCGGGGTAGTCGAGCTCCAGACTCTCCAGGAAGGCGGTGTACCCTTTGAGCCCCGTCCTCTGCAGGATGTCCAGCAGAGCTCCTACAGGGAACAGATCCGACAGGTGCATCTAAGATCAGCCTCAGGAATGCAGAACTGTTCTAAATTTGCTTCTGTTACCAGAACTGACTCAGTTCTTGGTTGCTGACTCCGTGGGATTGTTTCACAACTAGATCAGGGTCTGGTGGAACCAAGAACACTGTCTGGATCAAAACATACCGACTTTTCTCCTCCTGACGACGAGGGCGGGGTCATTGAAGAGCTGCTCCTCATCCTCAGCGCTGATCACCTGACCACAAAACAACCAATGAGCACCTGGCAGGGTCCCTGTGAGGAGCTGATTGGGTGATGACGAGTACCTGACACTGACGCAGGTACGGAGTGATCCTGGACGGGTCGATGGTCTTAATGAGCAGCATCCTGAAGTCATCCAGCTGCAGCCAGCAGAGGTCGTCCTCCCCGACGCCGTCCATCGCAGTGCTG